ATGTAAGTAGCCCTTGAATCTTCATATTTTACACACACACACACACACACACACACACACATACACACACGTGCACACACACCACACACAGCGCGCGCGCAATTTAAAAAAAAGGAAAAAAAAGAAACTCAACCTAAATTGTTGTTTAGCTTGTACTCAGACTATCGGGGATTTTTCTTGTGTTTTAGGCCCTGAATGGCAAGTTCGCATTTCAATGAAAGTGACTCCGACTTTGGCAGATGACATTCCGTTAGCTAAACTTAGGGAATGTAGGCCTACAATGACAATTTAATTTCCTGATCAACAGGAGGCTGAGAATGAAGACACGTCTCTTGGCCTGGGTGATTTCGATGATTCGGACACGAACCCATCTTTCAAACCAGGCAAAAGTGAAGTAAAAAAATGCAAAACTAAAGTATTTGCAGCATGCACCAGATGTTTAGTTCTCCTCTGCTATGATTATTTCCTAGCAGTTCCAGTATTTTGTAGTCAACATGGAAAGACAGGACAATCAACAAACTCTGAATCCTTTGCGCACAATGATTTTGAGACCGATGAGACCCAGAGTAGCAACGAACGGCTACCAGAATCATTTGAAGTTGAAGGGTCAGCCCGCCAGGCGTCACCAAAGAAACGGAAGAGAATCAACACGAAGAACGATGCAAAAAGAAAGCGACAATCTGGTAAAGAGTACATGAGCGCCGACACGAAAAAGGTTGTTCCAGCACGAATTATGAGAAAGGGCTGCCTTGGAATGGAATGTACGAGAGCTGGCCGTCAGTGTTCTGGAATCTCAGGAACGGATAGGAAGGAGATATTTCAGGACTTTTATAAACTGGCTGACTTGCAGAAGCAGCGAGAGTTCGTAGCGTGGCATATTGAGACGACAGAGCCCAAGGTCGGGAAACCTAACTCTTGACGCAGCAAAACGCATGCTTATTACATCACAGTCAGTGGAAAGCGCTTGAAAGTGTGTATGAGCACATTCTTTGCAACCTTGGGTATTTCAGAGAAATGTGCCCGGGTTGTTTTGTCAAAGATTACGGAGACCGGCATTGTGGAAGAAGACAAGCGAGGGGGCAGGCAATCGGAGCAGATGAAGACAAGGGAAGAACAAAACAGGGAGATAACCAGTCAACACATTGACAGATTTCCACTCGTGGAATCGCACTACTGTAGGGCCTCTTCCAGCAAAGAGTATCTCATCCCAGACCTTACATTGTCCAAAATATACGACATGTTCGTGAAAAAAAAAATCCATGCAATGACATCCCAAGTTTTCACACATTCAGACGAATGTTCAAGACGAAAAACCTGGCCTTTCATAGTCCTAGAAAGGACCAGTTCTCACTCTGCAACTCTTTCCAAAAAGGGGACGAAGCACAGAAAAATGGACTCACGGAAATTTACAACAGGCACGATGCAGAAAAACAAAAGGTGCGACAACTAAGGAGGATTGCAAGAAGATGGTTCAAGCTGACCGCAGCATTCTTGCTTGGAATTTTGATCTCCAGCAGGTCATATACTTGCCAATTTCACATGAAGATGCTTTGTTCTACAAAAGGAGACTTTCCAGACAGACAGACAGACAGACAGACAGACAGGCATACAGACAGACAGACAGGCATACAGACAGAAAGACAGACAGACTAGAGAGGTATGGGGAGGAGAAGAAAAAGAGGAAGATTTGGCGGGTGGATGGGGGAGTGAGGAGTGATGTCTTGGAGAAATTTTATCCTCTACTTTTCAGTCTGAAGACTGAAATTAATTGTATGGACACTCAAACACAGGGTGTATACATGGGCGTATACACTGATTTTGGACAGGACGAAAAACTGAACAATCGCACGAAAGGGCGTACGCCAACAGATGGCACATTTTCGCAGTGAAATTATACAAAACAGTGCAAAACTAATCTTGCTCATTGTTTGATATCTTATCACGCCCACAATATCGAAATATCCCGATGGTAGGATGCAATTTGCTAAAATGACAAGGGAAAAGGATGAAGCAACCAAAGTCTGAAAATCTTTAAATCGCTCTCCTGAAAAAGTAAGAAAACAGGGATACGCCCTTTGGTGTGATAGGCGACGAATTGTTGCTCCTGCTAAATCAGATATTGGGCGGCAAATTTCTGACATTGTTGTGTACTAAATATACATGATGCATTTGATCTTTTCGAATTTGCCAATGTTCTCTACTACTTGTAGGGCACACAAAAACACTGCATCTCTTGTCTCTTTCGCTACTGCGAGCCGTGTTTTACGGCTCTCCACTTCCTGCTTCCAAACCACACATCTACTTTTGTAATTTAATCAAAACTGAAATCTCAGGCTGAAGAATGGTCATGTTTGGCTACATGTTGAGATAGTATTTCCCACTTATTTTCGTGTATTATACAAGTGGCTAATATAGAAAATTGAACTAAAAATTTTTAATTTGTCCGAGGGTAGGCAGAGTCAGAAAGTAGGTCATAGACAGGGCCCAGTCCAGGTGAGGAAAAACCCCGGGTAGTGAAAGAGTTAAGAAGATGAGAAGAATATCGTTTGAAGACCTTGCTTCTCTCACCGGGCCATTAATTTCACCCCTAATACTTAATAAATTAAATTATAAATCTGCAAAGTGACATATTTTTCATTGTGTTTTGTTTTATGGTATAAATTGTTAACATAAGTTTTAGTTTTTCCTGAATGTGTTCTTTTACTGTTCGTGTATATTAATATATTTTTATCTGTTTCAAGCCGTGGTTTACTTATGTTGAATACATTAAACACCAGCTGAGACTAATGTATCCAGTGGGTGCGAATGATGGGTGCAGTAGCCAGCTGTGAAACTTGAGTAGTGTAAAACTCTTTGAATTGTGAATTGTAACATTAGTCTAATCATTAGACACTGACTGTAAATAAGGTGCCTGCACAAATATCAGGGTACACACAGCCTGCTTGCATGCTCATAAATTACTCAAACACACAAAAAGGTGTACACCTGACAGACATACTCACAGGCATACACACACACAATATCTTATAATATACAAGACTCTATATTTCTGCCAAGGTTTACAACTCAGGTATATATGCATAATTATATGTACTGGAACTCTAATTATAATATAATAATAACAATAATAATAATGATGATAATATTAATAACAATAATAATAATATATATATGTATAATAAACTGCATTTATGTTGCCCATTTTTATCCTGAGGAGAGGCTCAGTGTACATCATACTTAAAAATAGCTAAAGCTAACACATGCACAATCGAGGAGAATTTTAAAAAACCTCAAAAACTTATACTAAAAAAATTACACACAGTTTGACTGTTATACTAACGCTCACACACTTGCCACTATTATGCAACCAAGACATTAGCCTATATTGTCAGTTAAGGATGCTGCTCTTACGCTGCTTTCTAGAAAGGTAATTTTAAAATCTATACTGGCACTGCTGGCAGAGCTGACATCTGTTACATCATTTCAGTTGTCAATTTTCTCCTCCAACCCCTCCCCACACCACACCCTACTCTTCACATGTACACTCACATCTCCTCCCCGCCCCCCTCCCTTGCTTCTGTTTTGTGACTCAGCCAGTACTGTGTTTAGAGTCTGTGTGTGAGTGGATTGGGGGGGGGGGGGGGGGGAGAGGGAGAGAGAGAGAGAGAGAGAGAGAGGGAGAGAGAGAAAGAGTGTAAAGGGGGGGGAGAAGGGAATCAATACAGACTCATGCTGCAGGGTACTTGTTCTGCTTGCTTTTGCTGTGACTTTGATTCTCCTGTCTATAAACTTGTCAGATTTAATTTTGTTTGAAGTCGGTGCCAGCACACCTTTCACTCGTTTTGCATAAAGAATATGTTTGTCATCACATGTTATCATTGTGGTGTAGGGTGTAGATCTAAGCTATTTTTGATTTTGACAGCTTAAGATTCATGCATAAGTGGCTGAACTTCACACCTCCTCTCTTTCGTTATGTTTTTTGTTCATAATGGAGCAATATCCTCCAATGCTTCAGTAAGTGTGCTATGTGAGATGGACCAACTGAATTAAAATAAAATGCTTGTTTTGTGATTTGTATTCATTGATACTTGTTTAAAACCATTTAATCGAAGACGGCATTTGTGAATTCACAGAGCTAGAATTGGAACAATTGTGGTCTAATTCTGCTGCTTCTTTTCAATTTGGCTTTGCTTTTGTAATTGTTGCGATCTTTGTCTGGTGATATGTGAAACGGTGACTGTTATTGAGAAGACTCACACTAAATTTAGCTACACAATGAGAAGTCAGGTTAAAAATTATTGGACGAAAAACTATGTGTCGAATTATATTATTTTGTTGGGCCTTGAATTCAGGTTATGTGAATTTATAATGGTTTTTGTGTAGACTCAAAGCTTTATCCTACAGTTTGTTATGATTATGGATTATTTCAAGGAAAGCAATTTCATTTTGGTTTGGGGGGGGGGGGGGGGGGGAGAGGAAAGGAAAACCTATGATTGTCATAGCCAATGACCTGGCCTAGTCTGAGTGTTTGTATATAATTTATTTTGTTTGTTCTGTACCAGTATGTTTAAAAAAAATGTTATTTAAATGGTAGGCTAGTGGCTGAAATTGTTGAGGCTGATAATTAATCATACTAGATTTAGTATGAATGGTATTTGTAACAACAGTTGCAAGTGAGTAATCTAGTCATTGGAGGAATGTGGTTTTAATGAGCTTCAAACTGGTGTTTAATATAATTTGTGTGATAAAGTTTTTGGTGGATCTCTGTGGTCTTGCTAGCTTTCAAAGCTTTTCTGCACCTTTTATTAATTTTAATGCTTCATTATTATGTAAGAATTTGTTTGAACACTTTTGTTTTCAAAATTATTAATTTCTTTGCTCTTATTTCCTTAACCTTGCCATGCTCGCACTAACTACTGATCTTAAAGAGCATGATTATAAATTCCATAGGTTTATTTACTCCATTGATGGTTAATTCTATTAAAATTTTCATTTGACAGGCTTTTGCTGACTATTGTGGAGATGAGCTCTTGTGAGTAGTTAATATTTTTATCATGTACTTAAGTACAACGCTTAGTTTACTTTTAAGTTGTAATTTGGGACTTGAATAGTAAGGCAATTTATCTTTTTTTTATGTGCAATGATTCCTGTAAATTCCTGTTCCTGTAAATTCACTGTATATCCACAATGTCATCCCACCTTAGGCTAGAGGGAATGTAATGATATTTGGCCTTGAACAGCGTGGTAGTCACAGTGTTACCTGCTGTCTACTGTCCCCTTTTTTTTTCACAAAACTGCACCTTGTAAGCCTTGTCCACCCCGCTTGTGATGTAAGGTCAAGTAGAGAGCTCAGATGCGAGTGCGATGTTTGGGGAAAACCTACCTTTTGGCGAAATTACACCTTAGTGTGATTCCTTCCGGAGTAAACATTGTACCATTTAATGCCACGATTCTGTACGAAGGGTGGCGTTGTGCGGACGGTGTTGAAGGATGTGGTCGGCATCTTCTTGGTCGTGTCCACATTCGCAGATCGCGGACTCTTTCATTTAGTGTGCTTATGGTCGTTTAATCGTGACAACAGAGATATGATCACATTCATGAGAGTGGCTGAACTGTGACACAACAGGCAGTACAATGATTGCAAATTTTCGCTTGGTGGTTGATCAGCTGCGCCCACCTGGGTTTTTGTTCCAAAAATTGTGATCTGAAATACGGGAGCTTAGCAGAATATAGCCCTTCAGAGTGGGATCTTAGGGGTGACTTTTGTTTAGTAAAAATCCTGTTTTCTTAAAACGGGGATCGTTTTCTTAAAACAGGGATATTAAGCGAACTATGATCATAAGGGATGGGATCTCAGGAGGAGACTATTGTATGTTCACTTTTAAAATGAGATTTAAAAAATGCTTAGTGTTTGTATGGGTGCTGTTGTAGATACATTTTGCCAATGTTTTGGGGACTTCTGAGAAGCAAAGACAAAGTTTAATTTTTTTCTTAGCAGACTTTAGAAATGTAGTTTGTTCTTTTGAGATGCAAATCAGAATCTTTCTTCTCTCTGCCATACACAATTGTCAAGGATGAAAATTGTGTGACAACACCTGTGATTACAGTGGAAAGCTGTAATAAATCTTTTTCTTTACCTTGGCACTTGTACTTTTCAGCTGCGATTCACCATACAGATGTTGTGAGACAAAGAGAGGTTGCTGCTATGACAGTATGCTTCATCACAGCAAGCATTTCCGCTTGCAGATCTGGAATATGTGGTACTTCTGGTAAGTGAGAGTGCTCCCTTTTCCAATATGATTTGGTTCTGCTAAAACTGGAATGCCGTTTTCAGTAGTTTGGTGAAAAATAACTTGTTATAAATTATTTGGTCAACAAGTAAGCAGAGTTTTTCATTATGGTCTGAGAAATCTATTGTGTCACGATGCTGTGAAATCAAGGGCTCTTCCATTTTTTTGGCATCTGGTATTATTGGTATAATAATGTAAAGGCCAGTTCATTTTTTTGCTTTAAGAGAAAAAAAAATTCCCATCTATCTTGAATGGAAGTCGAGATATTATTCGCGTTTGAAGGAGATGGGGTCTTTTGGTGTCAGAGGTAAAATGTCAAGTAAATGACTTCCAATAATGCAGTGTCCTTGGAAACTGCTAATTTACATTTTTTGTCAATTTGATCTATGTATTTCAGTAAAATCAAAACAGAAATGTATGAATGAACATTAAAGATGCTTAAACCCAAAACGAAAAATTCAATAAAAATTACCAAAGTGGCAAAAAAATGTCTGTTTCTTCGATTTCATTATATTTTGATGAGTGCCTGAGCTCTCCTTGCTGCCTCACATTTGTTTTTTGTTTTTTTAACCATGCATTGTTTTCCGTAAAATTTAACTAATGTTTAAGATAAATATTTTTGTTTTTGTTTGTTTGTATACTGTCATGCATGTCCAATTCTTAATGCATCTTTTAAATTGTGGTGGGTTTTTTTAGACGAAAGGAAAGACAGGAATTTTTCATACTTTCTTATTATATCTCAGAAATCATGTGTTAAAAATTCTTAGTGCTTTTCACTGAAGTTTTTTACTTCATAAGTTTTTGTGGAAAAACCTGCTTTTATTCTACGGCTCATTCACAATCTTATTTTATTTCTCGAGATGATGAACCAGACCCATAAAAATTTCTATCATTTTCTTTGTCCCTGCTCCTTCTTTCCTATCCAAAATCTATCATTCTTGTCTCTCCTCTTTTTCTTTATATATTACTCTCAAGTAACACCTGCAATCTTTGGCGCGTACATGACCTATTTCTGTTGCAAATGCCATAAAATGTCTTACTAAAACTATGACATCTTTGTCCCTGTGACAGGTTCTTGATCATTTTCATGATGATGTCATGCTTTGGCGGCTGTGGCTACTACCGACGGCGGCGGCTGGCTCTACTCACCCAAAGTCCCAGCCCGCCCCTCCGGCCCACACCGCGACACGTGTTGTCCCTGCAGCGACACGGCCGCCAGCGACGCGCCAACCAAGAGAGCAGGAACACAGCGGCATACAACTACTTTGCTTACAATGGACCCGGTGTTATACCACCAGAGACATCTGGCTTGCCTCCTGCATATGCCGAGGTGAACGATTTTTGTTGTTGTTTAGTTTATGTTGTGGGCTCAAGATTTTTTTTGTGGGGGGGTTGTAAGAGATTTTAAAATTTTTAAAAGAATTTCTATACGGAAACATTCATATAGCAAAGTCAATGGGATGCTGAAATCTTTTCGTCATATTTGAAATTTTGCTAAGTACTTGTTTTGAATTTTTAAAATGTACATCTTTAACTCACTCAACCCTAGGCCTACACTTCTGGGCTGTCAACTCTCCCTAGATATTTTTACCACTTTTTGAAAAATTGAAAAAAGTACTAAATATTAACATATGCTTTCCAAATTTGGTACACATTTTATTCAAACCTTTATTTGTGTGTATTGAAAATTTGAAGACAAAATGTGTCATAATTTTTATGCAATACTCCGTGGAAAAAGCTATATATATATATATATATACAGAGTTAAAAAGTAAACCAAAAGTGAAGAAAGGAAGTGCATTTAAAATTCGCACCCCCTTACAAGTTACATGGTTTACGAATATAGCTTTCTTTGTTCTGAATTTGGGCTTGCACTTCTGGTCGAAGTCTGTTTCAAATGAAAAGTAGTTACTCTTCCAATTAAGCTATAGCCTGCTTCATACAAAAGTAGTGTTTTCGGTCACGAGAGCAAAATTTTCCTTACCGATACTGTCACTGTTAGGGTTAGAGCATTGCGCATGCCTACCGATAATTTCGGTGTTAGTGCTGGGTGGGTTATGATCAAAAATTTTTTTTTAATTTCGAACCAGAAAATCTGTTTACTGTATACATATATATGTGTGTTTCGCTACAGGCGTGTTCTCTATACTTGCGTGTTTGACTTCATATTATATTCATTGTATTTTAATCAGACCTTGTTAAAATTCTATTACTTGCATTTAAAATGTGTATGTTTTTAGGGTCTTATTAAAGTGGTTGCAAATTTCTTTGGTGGGCTGATAGGAAAAACACTGTCAAGCCCTGTTTAAACCCCCCCCCCCCCCCCCCTGTCCCCTTGTGCTGCCAGGTTGTGCACATGCATGAAGAACTTTTATATAAACACACAATTTACCCCTTTAAATTGCCAAGAGTAGTCCTTATTTAGAGGGTGCAGTGGCGGGGCGGTTAGTGCGCAACCCCCTCCTGCCCTCCCAGCCCAGCAGTAATGGGTCCCTGACTTCGAGTTGGGGGAGTAAAGACGGCGTGGAAAGGAACTGGCCACCCTACCACAATATGTTGAAAGCCCAGGAAGTTGTCTCAGTAACAAGGCAATCCCCAATGTCCGGATCGGATGCAGAAACAACTTTTTAGTCCTTATTTAACTAATATAAATTTGTCGGGCAACATTACCAGCAAATTGGTGGCCAGACGTGCACACTGTACATGGCACTCACTCTGCAGCTGCGCAGTGATTTTTCCCTTCCTACTCCAATACCGGAATTTCTGAGCTAGTTATAACAATATGGGAAGCCTGGTGGACAAGTGTCGCGGTTTGAACCAAGGGAAATAACTAATTATAACATTGTCCTAAATTTAGTCACGGCAGAATCATTTCCTTTGACGTCACCAACCTCCCATATACTGCCAACTTCATGCTAGAGTTGGGTCGGGCTCGCTAAATCAGTGTCCACGAGTAACGAATGGATCGCTGGCACTACTCGCAAACGAGCGGGCGGGTAATGAGCTGTTCGCTTGTGAAAAGTAGATCTAGTTTGCTACTCGCTACACATTAGACAGAGACAACAGTTCGTTTAGTGAGCGGGCAGACGGAGAGCCTCCATTCATTCGTGCGGGCGGACGGACAGATGGGGAGTGACTCCTTCTGTTGCATACTGCTTACACTATTCCTCTCCCCCTTCCCCCTTAAAAAATTAATTTGAAAATCACCCTCCTGCCACACATTGTAGCAAGGCATTCATGGCGGAAATTCGTCTACCCCACCCCCCCGGAAAAAAGTTCTTCTCTAAACATCGCCGGCGCGATAAATTGGATGGTACACAGTGTGACCCACACACGAGGTGAAAGGTTACACCCGTAGTACTACATCACTAGCCTCTCTCACTCCCTGTGGCACTGCTAGTGGCTTGAAACATTAGACCTAATTAACAAACAATAGACGATGGGCCTAACCTTGCGTCGAGAATATTGTCTGCTAGAGTTCATCCATTTGCCCGCCCGCTCAGTGAATAAAATCGTCGAGCGGACCCGAAAAACTATCTGTCTTGAGGCATGCAGTCCACTCGCATGGGCGTCTGTTACCCGCTCGCTCTGACTGAGTCCAGGAGTAACGAGCCCGTTCGTCCGCTCGCCCCAACTCTACTTCATGCTGGTCCCAATGTTGGTGGTATAATGGGGTTTGGCTGGACAGTATTGAAAAGTATGTTTGAAAGGTCAGGCCATCCATGATGCAATTTATATATATTTTAGATCAAAGTAGTTTGTAATATTGCCAGTGCTGCCTTTATGGAGTAAGATGTCTTGATGGATTACTTCACACCGTGAAATCAGACAGCCTTTATTTATTTATTTATCAGCATATGTTCATTGAACAATATGAGCTGGAGCACACACTCAACTGAAGTTTATGTTCTGACTGTTTATGTTGATACTTGGTTCTTGGTCCTCAGTATTGTGATGAACACTGATTTTGTACTCATTGCCTTGAAAGTTATTTTATATATATATATATATATATATATATATATATATATATATATATATATATATATATATATATAAATTTATATTATGATGAAATGCAAAGATTGTTCAGAGGCTTTTCTTTGGGGTGGGGGGGGGGGGGGGGTTCATGCTGTGCTGCGCATCAAAGTTTGGATGATATATAAAAAGTGTAAAAAAATTGGATAAACTTGAATAATTAGTGACTTTGGTGAACTTTGTTAGGTTTATGTTTGATGTTTTGCTGTAACTTGACATAATTATTATTAAAATCATCATCTATCTCATTGACAGGTTATGAGTCAGCCGGCCATGTATCCTCCGAATAAAGTAGAATTGCCACCTTATCCAGGTCTTGTGAAGCCAGGTAAGGTTCTTATGGTCTAACCCTGCAGTCATCAAGCTTTCTATGATTTTTGTAATTAGTTCTTTCCATGGAAGGATGTTAATTAATGTGCTATTGATTTCAAATTCAAGAAATATGTCTGTCAAGGGTTGTATTGTGCTCATGCAGTTACTGTTTGGCTTTGTGCGTTTTTTTGTGGGTTTTTTTTTTGGTTTTGTTTTTGGGAGGGGTGTATTTTTTGTTATTTTTCAAAGTTTTTGTTAATATTAGTTAATGGATAAGCTTTGACTAAATATTGTATTGGACTGTAAAAAGAAGTCATCTGAAGAAATAGGTGGGAGGAATGAGAAGCAGCTCACAGAGCTTATCAGTACAGTAAAACTTAAATATAACCAAGTCATCGAGTCTGACTTTCAATTCCATTGAATCCAAGTATTCGTTACAGCAATGTGAGCTATAAATCGTGTTGCAGTGTAGGGTCTAGCATAATGGCAGCATTGGGTTCCACTGATGAACTATGAAGTTAATTACCTAGTTATATTTCACACATCTGTACCTCCTGGGAACATTTGTGCCTAGGCCTGCTCCCCCCCCCCCCTCCTGAGATTAAACATACGCACTAACAGTCACATGTGTGCTGGTCATCCATCTGACTTCTCTCAACCCTTGCACACATGTCATGTCTCACACACGGGTCGGCGAGGCACATGTTGGTGTGAAAAAAGGTTTCTGATTGGTCGCATAAGATGTACGCAACAGGCCAGCTAAGTGTATAACGATCCACGATGAATGCGATCGATGGTCCCTTGGAATAGAGCAGATAAGCTTCATTGAGGGAGAAAAATGCGGGAATCGAGGGCTGTTTACCCGTCAAACGATTTGGTTAAATCTAGGTTTACTCATTTTATGTCTTTGCCGAATCAGAATTATTTTGTTGATTTCAACTAATTATAAAATGAGGGAGTCCTTCTCTTTTCAGTGAATCCAAGTTTGTTGTATCCGAGTTTTACTGTAATTTTGTTTTTGAGAAGACGCTTGTTCTACTCTCAGCCTCCTTGAATTCATTGTTCAAATAAATGAATAGAGCTGCATTGACATTCGAATCACTCCTGAAGTAGGTGCCCTGCTCACAGCTGGTCTTCCAACTACATTTTATGTTGTAAGCCTCCCAGTCATAAATTTATATTGCACTTTTTTTCTGAGTTAAGTTTTTGTGATAAGCTTATGATGTAGATCTTATGGCCATAAAATGTTCTTTAATGTACAAACCATCTTGTTGTTGCAGTCACAAGTAGAATGGTGGAGATCTAATTCTAACATTTTGTACTCATTCTGAAAAGCAGGGTCAATGGTGCGACAAATATTTTTTTGGGTGACAGTCATTTTATGATTCCAGAATTTTTAATTTTTTTTGTGAGTAGTTTTATTTAAATTTTTAATTTCACTTGGTGGTTGTTTAACTACCATCTCAGACAAGGCAGTTTTTAGTATTGAATAGTTATGATTTTTCATTGTTTGGCAGAATTCTGTATGTATGATAATACAAAGTGAATGTCATATTACCAAAACTTTTTTAGCTCGATGACAGTGCGCAAGCTTATTTTCTTTCTTGTGAAGATGATTACCCTTTACTGTATGTTTTGCTAGACTTCTTCTTTTGATGGAGAACTTCAGCTTGGTTTAGACTTTTTTAGCAGGGTTTCACCTGAGCTTAAATTGGAAATTACATGTCATGCCTGTTTGTTTTTTCTTTCAAAGAGTGGGTGGTTAGTGGGTGCTCTGGTGTGGTCTGCTCCTTCTCTCCTATCAAACATCTGTCATCCTTATTTCTCCTCCTTTTTTGTGTTTGTTTTCTCTCTTGTAACACCGCTAATCTTCGCCATTTATATGACCTTATTGTTTTGCCAGTGCCATAAAACTCTCGCCAAAACTTTTTAAAAACCCAACTTTCAAAGGGATGAATGTGTTCTTTATCAATTCTTCCAGACGGCCAAATGATGTACAGTCCACAAGGACCACAGGTGGACCCGATCAGTGAACCTGCCCCGCCTCCGTACTCAGAGTTTCAGTATGGGCCTCCTCCATCAGAGGGGGCCGCTGCACACATACCTACAGGCGTCCCAGCTGTAGGTCCAGAACAGATGCCTCCATCAACTGACCACAGCTGTCAACCGATGCCCTCTCCTGCTCAAACGTCAGATGCCAGTCAGGTGGCCAGTGTGATGAATGCTGAGGGTAGTAACAACAGTAATAATAACAGTACCTGTCCATAGATCCACTCCTATTCCCTGCATATGAAAACGTCAATGCAGGTTTCCCACTTATCTTATTGAACTTATTCTATGGCAACTGAACTTTTAACCATGTTCTCTGCTTTGTTGTGATCTTAATTCATGTATCAGAATATTATTCTGAATATCATTTTTGTGAACTGATGTCAGGGTTTCAGTATCAGCATTGGCTCAATGATCTTTTTTGTTATACCTCCCCAAGATTGTGAAGGGTCCCAAGCGTATACCTGGGTGTTTGTGTTAACCCTGCTAGTGTTGATAATATTATAAATAGACTGTGGTGTCAGAGGAAATTATATGTTTTCACCATATTATGCTGGAAAAAACCTGAGCAAGTAAATGCCATAAACTTGTACATTTTTAGAAAGTAGAAAGTAAATAGCATGTAGAGCTCATTTGTGAAATAGTTGATGATAAAGAAAACAGGATAAACGAACACAAATAGTGACTCAAATTATGGCAGATTAAATCAGGGACAACGCCACAGCAAAGAACTCACGGCAGATTAACTCTTTGGCTACCAGGAGGACTTTCTTTGATTCATCAGAGAACCAGTGAGGTGTTCTGAATTGCGTTGGCTGCTCCTTGAGCTGGTGTGGCGGGCCTCTACGTTTGGCGTCCACTGTACCAGTGCAGTTTTTGTCCCTTGTTGACGATGGACCTTGATGAGTGGAAGGGTGCAACATCTGTGGGCATACAGATGGTGGCGGCCAGGCAGATCTTTTAGCTGTGTTGTAAACACTTTGATGCCTTGGGAGGATGTTGGATCAGTCTCAATGTTGTATGCAGTTCGTGCACCGAAGTAGATAAAAATGTTATACGCCTACCTCATGACAGAATTGCCAATATCAAAGGTCTTTATAAGGTGTTTATGGGAGTTTGCTGGCATTGTACTGTTTGGCATGGAACCTGCCCATGAAGCCTAGTCACCATTTCATCAAGGAACAGTTTGTCATACAGATAAAAAGCTTCCTTGAAACTCCCCATGAGGCTTGTCTCAAAAGGTTTAATGTTTGCATTATCGTTGTCAGGATGAGACGCGTGCAATTTTGATTGATATATCAAGAGAAATTTTGTTTGCGGAAACGTCAGCTTAAATCACACTGTTTTTGTGGTTACCGTACTCCAGTACTTCTTCATATCACTTTGAGACAAGTGTCCCATGGCAATAATCAGTGCCAGGAATTGGTAGAAATCTGTACAAGCAATCTGTGCTTCCATTCATTGTTCGCTGATATCTTGGTTGGAGAAGTTGTTTGGATCTTAAACGATACACATTCATTTACATTTTTGATGAGCTCATCAGTGATGGCTGTGTTTAGTAATGTAAGAAAACAATCAAGGGGGGACAGATCATCATCAAGTGGTGCTTTCAGGCCCAGATGCATTTTTTCAAAAGAGGGAGGAACGGAAGTCCATATTTTCCTCAATAATATCTCCACCCTAGATCCATTTACTTCTTTCGCTGATTTCGATCTGAATGTTGAAATTCAGTCATATTTCACGTAACTGACGCTTTGATCAAAACAAAAAAAAGGGGGGATATTTTCGTTTCGTAAATCTTTTCCAAGTTCTCTAGTAGCAATAATAAGTCCTCGTGAATGACAGATGAAGTTAAAATGAAATAAGACAGAGGATGGAACGTCATCATTGCCGATACATTGGCAATATGTCCGCAAGGAGTGTGGATTCTTGCCGATATATTGGCGATGTGTCTGGAAAGAGTTAACTCTTTAGGTGGTGGATTATCAAGGCTACAGTTGTTCCCCTCAGTGGTGGATTATTTTGAGGCTATTCTATTATGACCCAGTGGTGTTAAAAAACATTGTTTTAAAAAACCTATAAAAGATAAACACACATATCATGAACAAAAATAGTGATAAATAAATGAACTATAACATGAACACTACTCCTAGCAGCCTAACAAGCAAAAAAGATTTTTGTACTCACTTTGTGCTGATCTACGAGAAATTCTCCATTTATTTCTCGGTTTGTACTCCAATTTTGTGTGAAAAACTTCAAAGCACTTGGGAATGCAGAGGAAAACCTTGCAGTGCTTGCATTCAAAAGATGTTTGTGTCCTTTTGCAGCCATTTCTGGCAGATTTGGGAACATTGCATACCACACAGTCTCTCATCGATTTCTGTTGCTTGGCTCCAGGCTTCGGCTCACAACTGTTGAAAGTGAGGAAAATTTCGATTCAGTCTCTCTGGCACCTCAGATAATTTCCTGCCACTACTGGAGGGTCTGGGATTTCCTGGTACAGCCAACAGCAAATATTTTACAATCTGGCTCCTAAATTCAAAGTGATCGACAGGATTCTAACTGTCTTCTTGTACAAAATATAAGAATTGCATAATATAGCGCAAAAAAGTGCCTGAAAAATTTCCTCCACCGTTTGACAGACCATCGAATGCATGCATAGTTCCTCATCAGTTGGTCACTGAGATCCACCCCTCCCATGTTCTTTACCTACTGAACAATCACTTCAGGTTTTACTGTTGGGTTGCCTTCGTGGTCCTTTTTGGTAAGAGAGACGAGATTTGCGTCGTGGATGGTGGACAGCTTATGAATGTCTCGCTTGTCCATATGTCTGAGGACAAGTAAGTTGTCTCTCTGCCTAAAAATTATTTCTCCTTGTGAGAGCTTGATACTAGCTTTTTTCTTTATTGCATCAAGCATTTCTTTTCTGTTGGTCCTCACTGTGCCGCATGCACCAGTGCCAAGTCGATACAGCTCATCCAAGAGTTCCGGTGACACGTGATAGTTGTTTAAGTAGACATGGTGCCCTTGGTTTAGCAGTCAACAGTAAGCGAGTAATCTTACTACTAGCTTAGTTGTGGTACTACACTACTCTGACGAACTAACCAAAGAAGCTTCTGCCCCGTAATAAACATTCATAGCCAACAAATACCTAGACTCAGACTCACAGACTTCATATATTTTTTTCCGAACTTGGCTGTTTTTTGGATTGTAGACCTTGAAACAAAGGCGGCCTTTGAAATCTCATGTAGCTTCATCGAAACTGAGATTTTATCCTGGTGAGTACGCATCTACAAACTTTTGTCTGAGGTGGACAAGGAATGGTCTGACTTTGAACAAAGAATCGGTTTTGTCATCACCTCTGTTGTCAACAAGATGGAAATATGACAGAATGTTCTCAAAACGTTTGAGAAACATGTGCGTCGAGAAGAAAGGCGTGTGGATGATTGAATCTGTAGACAAAATTTTATCCAAATCATCTTTTTTTCCAACTCCTGTGGCAATTATCAGAGCTTAAAAGGCTCTCATCTCACCTTGGGCTATTTCTTTCCAGCTGAGAATACGGGAGTTGGGTGGCAGATCTCATGTCACATCTCCTTTTTGAGCAGCATAATTATTGGTTTGGTTACACCAGTCCTGAATTGTCTCTTCACTTATGAAATTACTTAAAAATTCAAAAGGCTGAGGATCATCACTCAGAGGCATTTTTACTTGTGATTGACCAGTCAATGCTCAGCAATTGGTGGGGTCGACTCACAAATCCATCCTTCATTCTCATCAGATTTGAAACATGGTTAGTGCCTGTTTGTTGAATCGGTTCAGGAGCTATAATATTCGATTCATCAACAACTGGCACACTTATTTCACCACTAGTTCCAGAACTCTCATTCTCACCATCAAAGTCATTATAGATTTCATCCTGTAATCATTGAATATTTGCATTAGATTGTCGCTGAGTCGCTAGTGTAAATGTAGAGGCATCCATCTTGACGGCGCAAAATATTTGAAAAGAACACAGAGTCGAAATTGCATTCATAAAAGTAGTGAAAAATAGGTACAGATTCCGAATTTGCGCACAATACAAAGGAAACTCATTTCCGGAGCATTTACCGGTGTTATATTGCTTTGTATACCCTTCGGCTCCGCCCGCAAGGTTAAGTCCTTTTCTGTTAGCCAAATAAATGTGTGCTTGGATTTTTTCCCAATTTAAAAGCTAATTTTGAAGCCAAAATTCCAAGCAGCAAAACATGGCTTGCGGTCGCAAATGAAGGGTGGCACAAGCCGTAAAATGGGGCTTGTGGTAGTTAAAGAGTTAATCAGCTATTGACACTAGGAGGGTTAATGCGCAATGGTGTGCAAGTGTTTTTGTGAATGTGTGTTTGTGTGTGTGTGTCTGCTGGTTTGTTGGGAATATCGAAAAGTAAAATAGTCAAAAATCTGCAAAGCCAGATAAACTGGGCCCAATTCAAAGCTTGGCATTTAATTTGTGCAATATTTCCAAAATTATTAATGGAAGGTGGAGGGTTTTTGGCATTTTACAAAAGGATTAATGTGGATATCAGAATTGCTTTGTTGTGACTTTTCCACCCTTGTTCTTTTGGCAGAGATGAGATGGAAAGATTTGATGGACCTTTCCTTTTCAGTCAATACATTGTCTTGCAAATTGGTCTTTGATTACACTTCTGTGTCATAATAAGTATTTTTTGGCAAGAAAAATGTGTAGTGCAGTTAATGCCTTATAAGGCAAATTATTTGACTAATTCGACTTGTTCTATGAAGGAGGCGGATTATATAAAATGAATGTCATGAAATGCATGGTAAATCCTCAAGTGCTTTGTTTGCCTTGGATGCTAATGTTTTGAACTGCCCTCAGAACTTGAGCACATTTTTTCCCCTCAAAGAAAAGATTTGATATTTTTCTCTTCCTCTGGTGATTTGCTTCCTCCTCCTACCTCATGTGAGGGCCTTTAATGTGCTTGCAATGTTTGAGTCTCTGTATTATCCCTGATATACACACATTATCATTTATGATTATACACATCATGCTTGTGAGTACTTTACTTCTCTGTAGCAGTGATGCATTATTATTTCTATTTGAGGAAAGGGTCTCCCACTGTGCATTTTACACAGATTTGTTTGCATGTTTTTTTATAAAGGAATGAAACAAGAGTAGATCTCCAAGCTTTTCAGAATTTAGCTAGAAGCTACATATTAACTTAGACTTTCTGAAATTACATACAGAATTTTGAAGTATTTGGTTCAGAGCAGCTTTCAAAAAGCTCGGTTAAAGCACATCAATTCTAAACTTCATTAAAGAGCTGGGAATGCACATTAGTAGCATTGTTTGTGATGCTCAGTGAAGGTTTTATACTTGATCCAGACTCATAATCAGAGTAAAAGCTAATTTAATAGATCCTATATCTCTGTCACATACTAGTCATTGAAAAACTATATTTGTTTTATGTAGCTGTCCTCTTTCCTGGTGTCACAGAAGCTCTGACCAGGGACATTTCCTGTGAACCAGTGTTGTGTTTAAGTATAATGGTAGAGGGAGTGAGTTTTACTGGTTATTCCCTCTGTTTTGTGTCATATGGATCTTTGTTTCTGTAGGGTTGATACTCGTTTTTTTGTTTTATTTTTGTTTTTTATTATTGTATGAATTACTATTGTAAAAGGAGGATTGTAGGACCTGCCTTCTCAACTTTCTTTATGATTTTGATATTCTTGCCAAACCGATATCTCATTTTTTCAACTGAAGTGTGACCTTTACCCTCTTTGCTGCAGTCAGATTTGAAGACTATGCAAATCATTTTGTCTATTCCTGTACTTGTTGTTACAAAGACTTTTTATTTCACTTAAACCATGGATATTTGTGCACGTGTTTGTTACTATACTATTGCATTTATATATATGTATTGCTATATATAAGTATCAATGTGCAAGTCTCATTTGACAAAGGAAGAGAGTCCAGTGTAATAGGATTGATTTATCTTTGTTTAACCTATATCCTTTGTACTTTATATTCACAGAGGACTCCTTTCCACAAAGTACTTAGTCGGACTTGTAATGTTACTTAGGAAATATAGAGGGCTTTTTTGTGCTGAATGGAAAAAGAAACGTAAGTTTTTAATTCCAGAGGTGTCGGGGCTACCTTATTAGTTACTGGATTTTTTATCCACAGAAAATGTTTTGGGATTTTTGCGACTAACTGATAAGTCTTGCTGTCACTTCTTTGGATTATATCCACTAAATGAAAATTTTAATAAAAAAAAAAAAAGCAATTGTGCTTTACTGATCCACTTGAAAAATTTGTATACAATAAATAGCAAACATAAATACACAAGTACATTGATGAATAAGTGCATGAATAAAACACAGTGGTGAATATCACTAACTTAAACAATCTACTTGTCATAGCTGGTCGTCACTGTGCAGCATCCTGTCTTTTAGCTCTGGAGCATACCCCTGTGACCACCCATAAAAGCTGTGTTACCTACACACTCTTGACGTGCATTTATTCAAGATCATTTGAACCAAATCTGAAGAGAGTGGATGGTCCCTTTTAAAAAAAAGTGGAGTTGGAAAGCAATGTCTCAATTCCAGAATATTTCATAATGATGCTTAGCTTAGCGATTGAAACCGACAATTTTAATTCTTATGTTCAAAATCATGAAAATCCACCTCTGTCATGCTTTTACTATTATTGAATGCTACCTTAGTTTATATTTTGAGGCCTGATGAGTATATATCCCTGGTTTCTACTAAAAAGTGACATAAAGTTCAGTGCCAACAGAATCTATACATATTATATTTGTGAAAGTCCGTCACTTTGGCCGCCTAAAACTTCGGAACCACTTAACTTTCGAATTTGAAAAAATCAATGGTGGTTTAGAATCATTTAAAGGGTGCACAGTTTTACTGAGGAGTCTGAAGTCACTGTAGTTTAATTTTTAGTTTTTCATTAGTTTCGTTTAGATCTAATCTTGGGAAAGTCCGTCTTCTAAGACGACATTGTAAACTTGTGAGGCTTCCGTTCACTGGTCCCACATTGACTTGACGATCGATTCTTTTGAGTCCGTTCATCGAACGGAAACCCAGCTAGATATATAAATAAGTGATGCAGAAAGGGAGAACAAGAGAGATAAAGAAGGATTTAGCAGCGTTCATTTATTCATACATAAGGTTTAGTTCTAACGGTTGTACTCTTCTTTCTTTTGCTTGATTGTTCTTTTACTGTGTTGTGAGAATAAGTGAAGAAGTTATTGATTTTTTAAATTTATTTATTTTTTATTTATTTATTTATTTATATTTATTAAATTTTTTTTTTAGGGGAAGGGGGGGGGGGGGGCAAATGAAATCCACAAAATCCCTTTTCTTGTTCTTTATTTTACAAGTACAAGTGCAGTGTGTACTCATTCTTTTCTTTATTCACTGCATTTTGACATGTTAAATTTCAAAAGCAAGTGTATTATGCTTTATAAAAGGACATGTCTTTCGAACAACACCGGGTGTAAAATTGTGGAATAGCTTGCCATTCATTTTCTCCAACAATGGCTTATATTTCTCATTTGGAGGAGTAGTCTAAGAATTCAAATGCATTGTATTATTTTGTTTTAGTCATTTTGTCATCTGGATTTCATGTAGATGTTCCTTGTGAGTTTCTTGAATTATTAGCTAGGCTTTCCTTATTGCAGATATTCTCATAGTCCTGTTGAATGCTTTTCTCTGAATGAAAAAAAGATACTTGTGGCTGTTTAAAGTTCCTCCTGTTAAAGTTTTAGAAGGAAACAATCAAAATCATTGTTATTCGATTAGAAGTGCGTTGATGTTTGTACATCATTATGACTTCCTCTATTGTGACACACGTGGAAATGTCTATAAAAAGTATGTGAGAGACAAGATTTTGCAATTCTTACACGATTTGACATTGATGTGAGATGTTTACACACCAAGTGAAATAATAATAAAAGTTTGTATTCTTGAATGTTCTATTTGTTTGTTCTTTCTCTCAAATCTCTTTTGGATTTTTGCCAGACATTCCTGTCAATATGATGAAGGCAATAACAAAAAAAAATTAGAAATATTTCTGTATCAATTTGAACCCCATTTTATATATTTGTCACGGTGCAGTGGAATCAGGTGCTCGTCAATTTTTGGACATATGGAGTTATTAGTATCATCATAAACCTGGTTCATTTGTCTTGCATTTGACGCAAAAAATATCCATCTATCTTGAACAGAAGTAGACAGAAGTCGAGATATTACGATTGAAGGAGATGGGGTAATTTGGTTTCAGTGGTAAAATTAGCGAGAAAATGGCCACCAAAGTTTGTAAACTCAGTTGCTTGACAGTCCTTGAAAACTTAAAGTGTACATACTTTTTGCTTTTTATCAATGTTTTTCAGTAAAATCCACGTGGAAATGTGTTTTTATGTGGACATAAAAGGTGTTGGGACAAAAAACAAAAATTTGATAAAAATTGACAAACTGGCAGAAAAAAATGTGTTTTCTTCAAATACATTATCTTGACGAGCGCCTGATTCCACCACGATGCCTCACATATGAAAGGCACAAGGGAAAAACGGCGATGTCAGGTTTTTGCCATTCCGAGATAATTGAAAAACAAACTTTTCAGACACGAATCTTTTTCTGTTACAATGATTTCTCTACTGTTTACGTTGACTTCAAGTATGACCATTTGTGTTGAAAATGAGAAAGTTTTGCAGTCCTAGTGTGATGGGTGTTTCGGTGAGAGAAAAATTTTTAAAATGATGTTGCCAACTGACATTGCTGGTTTTTCCCTTGTAAGCTGTTGGCAAGGTCTCCATCTTCTACTTCTAGGAAGTCAAGGAATTGTGAGTTTCTTTACTCTTTTGTAAATACAAACAAAACTAAATGGTTCAAACAAGTAAATAAATTGCACACCATTTAATATTTACTATGTTTATTGAAAAAAAATTTAATATTCTTTTTTGGATGACGACTCTTGAGTCATCAGACTGGTGGCCCTTGGTTCTCCAGTATGGGGCAATTTGGAGAAAAGCTGTCAGGCCAGATCACCTTTAAGATCTTCATGTCTGCATATTTGGCAGCTTTAATGGTCAGCAGGCTCTAAAAGAGGGGTTTCAGGGGTTACAGTCTTGCGGCGCGCTTCTTTTGCAGCGGCTTCATAATGATTGCGGTGTGAAACGGACCATTCATGCTCTCTCAGTACTGCATTAGCTGTGGATGGGCCTGTGAGATGCAAATTTCAAACTGAGGCCAAGTGGGTATAAGGCAGGAGACATGGTAGGAGGTTGAAGGTTTTCTGACACATTCTGGAATTCGGCTTGTTATCTCCCTACTACCTGGAGCAGCGTGGGTTTCCGAAGGGCTGTCTCGAATTGCTCCACCCAACTGGCTGGATAGAGACCTTCTCATTCACCACTGCCATGTCTCTGTTGCATTCCATATAGCTCTGGTCTCTCACTGGAAATGAGATTTTCACTTTTTCGTACCTTTCCTGATGGACAGCAACATGATAGAGAAACCAGATCACCGTCCATTTCTTGTTCTGGCCTGCGCATCAGTCGCATCAGCTGGCAGAATTTGTAGACAGTAATTTAGCAGCATGCTGGCCACATCGTCTCCACCCTCTTTGCTGACTGTCTCGTAACAGTACAGGTGCACTGTTTCATCTCTTAGTAGATTTTAAAGGAAAAGAAAGATAGCTGCCAATGATTTGCCAAATTGTTTGCTGAGATGTTTAGGCTAGCATAACATAGGTTAGCAGCGCATATAAGACCAGTGCGGGGGTCCGAGCCTGAGCTCGGTCCGACGTTGTGTCCTTGCGAAAGGCACTTTACATGAATTTTCTTTTTGGCTCGGTCCTTTCGGGGATGGACATTTCACTCGAAGTCCCGCTTCTTAAATAACGTAATAGTGTTGACAGGGGTGTTAAACCTATACCATATCACCATTTTTTACTGAAATATCGTCACTGATTGGTCACAATGGATGCAACAAAGAAAAGTATGCTTGATGTCGCTTGTTTTTCCGTTGTTAACATCCTGAAATTGCTGGTTCTTCCATTGTGAGCTAGATCAATATTTTCCAACTCTCACATAGACGGGACAGCATTGGCTTTTCTGAATGTGACACAGATGGACTAAAGCAGACCCAGCCGGGCATCATGCTGGGACAATAACCCAGAAAATAAAAAAAACCAACACTTGACATCGTTGTTTTTTTCCTTGTGCCCTTCATATGTAATTTTGAAAGCAATGCTCAAGGCCCAATGGTAAGAGAACACAAGAAGCAAAGAAGGTAGAGATGATATACCAGAGGCACGTAAATATGTACTGTATCAAATACATGGATTTGAACAAAGGTTTTCATGTATACTCTCCCACCATCAGAGGGGTTGACTCTCTTACAGGTGTGCTATGATCCTATTTTCTTCCCTAAATTTTCTCTTTTCATCTCTCTAGTCATGTTCTGTTATCTGTTTTCATGTCCACTTTCCGTCCGCCTCCCCCCCCCCCTTTCCCCCCCTCTTCAGGGTTCCTGACTCTTTCTACTGCTACTCCTGTCTCCTTCTTCTTGCTGTCTTTCAGCAACACCCCTGGTCTTAGGGTAGGTAAGATCTAACACACCTAGCCTTCCTGGATAAAAGCAAAAAAATCTTGGAGGTCCCATGTACAAGCGGTGCACATTAAAGATCCCTTAGTGGTCTAAAAAACGACAAGAGTAGGCTTCGGCCGCCTCCCAGGCAAAATACAAAGTTAATTCTTACCAAAACTGAAAATGTTTAATTTGTCCTGCACACTCATATGAGTGACCTAATGCAGTTGTGAGCGCCATAAAACTCCTACTACATCAAATGTTTCCTCGTTTTAATGTATATTTTGTCTTTTCTACTGAGTAGCTTCATGGAAAATCATCCAGTAAATTAGTAAATAGCTTTGAAATACAGAAAAGTGATTTCGAGCTGTTGTGCAACCCATCGACTATCGAATTAGAAACTTCACCTGTACATTTACAGATTGGTGCTGACTACAAGGGGGTATCAATAAGTTTTTTTTACAGAAGTATGAAGGAGTAGAGCTACAAACTTGAAATTTGAACAGGTTCAAGATAATCTAAAATAAAAATGAACACTAATAATTAGGAATTTCCGATAGTTCAGGTTGTACAGCAGGTAGTTTAACTTTAACATCTCCCTTGAAAATGAATACTTGAAGGCATGATTAGCATTTTTTATTTTTGTTCACAAAATGGTAAAACATTTTAATGAGA